AAATTCTTTGTACACACATTTACATTATGTTTAAGTAATGATTCGGCGACGGCAGGAGAAGAATTTAGTGACTTAGTGGTCAAGATCGGAATATCAGTAAAATATTTCTCAAAAACCATTGCTACGTCCTGATCTGATACAGTTAATTTGTTGTTAACACTTAACTGGTAATTTGAATTGCGAGAGTTGATCTTACCAGTTTCGCTATTAATTATACTCCATGTCATTTTAATTTTATTGGAAGCCGTCTTAATTTTGTTGCTCAAATGCAAAGACTTGGCTATGGAGCACACTCTTTTAAATATTTTTGAATATTTTTTTACATATTCCCTAAATTCGACGCTATGATTATATGACCTTTCATGGTAAAGATCATATAACCTATGCCTGCTCTTATGGACTCCTACTGTCGCCCATTCATTGAATGACTTCCGACTGTTCAAGGAGAATGTTTTAGAAGTAAAAGTATTATTAAATTCATTGCAAATAAGCTTAAATAATGTTCCATACAAAAAATTAGGATCATTTTGGTATGAAAGTGATGGAAGTTTTTTCACTATGTTACTTCTAAATTTCTCCAAGCGACGTGCATTTACTGGAACAGACACAACTTTCTCATCTACTTGCTTTTTGTGAACATAAGGTAACGAAACTACTTGTCCACAGTGATCAGAACTTAATTTTTGAATTATACATTTATGCAACGGCTTCACATTTGTAAAAATGTTATCTATACATGTTGCACTAGATTGAGAAATACGCGTTGGCTCTATAAATAAATTAAAAAGACCATATGATTTAAACAATGATCTAAATTTAATATTGATGGAGGAAGCTTCTAGGAGATTGATATTAAAATCTCCACATATTACAACAGATTTATTCTGTTTATTAAGCTTAGCAAAAACTTCCTCCATAATGTTTTCAAAAGTATCATATGTACAACATGGGGGTCTGTAGACGCTCACAACAATGAGGTGCTCAAACTCAACACATGCCATTTCTACAGTTCGCTCAACAGAGAGGCTCACAATGTCTTTACGTTCTTTACATGATAATAATTTACTAGCTAATATTAAGGAGCCACCTCTTAAAACCGTATCTCTATTGAAAGAACGTTTTGATAAGCGTTTTGATAAGAACTTTTGCATAAGCGGTAAAATGGATGGACAAACATTTCTTGTTTGATTACTAGCTGCTTCTTCAGGTGATAAATATTTTAAAAATTGAAGTAAATCGTCAAAGAAGTCGTATCTTTTTTTAATTTCTTTGCAGCCTGTGATAAGGAAATCTCTGCAGCGAGAGTAAAACTCTTTTAATTCTTCTTTTTTTGTTGATATATCTGGTTTTTGCGTTTCTATCATAATTTTTACCCCCAAATACATTTCTGGGAGAAAATATAGCGTATCTTCTGGGGCGATTGAGCTGATCACATTTTGTTGAACATAATCCCTTTGCATATAACACATTAATAATTCTTTGTACATTTATCTTATGTGTTCATCCAGTTCCACCAATTTTGAGTCTGCGCTTTGAAAGTACTCGTTGAGTTTAATAAATTTTGGTAATATCCATTGCAGAAATAATAAGTAAAGCTTAATAAAATCGTCATGCAGCTCACGATAAATTAATTCTGCAGCTACAGTTTTTTCTTCGAGCCATTTCTGCGTGAAAAACAATTTAAGGCTGTTCCACTTATCAAGCAACCTGTTCACAACCGATAGCAGGCACCACCGAGTTTGCGATGGATGTAAAATCTTGTGGATTTTTGTGTTAGTAAAAACTTGAAATTCCAAATATTGGGCTTGGCGTTTGGAACTCAGTTTGAAAAAACCGTAAATGTTTCGCGCCAAATCTTCGCATCGTCTTGGTAATTTTTTGCATGCCTCACTGGCACACAAATGCATAGAATGGCATATACATTTAAAAATAAATATACCTGGCAGATTTTCTCGCAAACGGCTGGCTACTGAATTTTATGATTCCATCATAATCTGTTTTCGAGAGTCATTACGAATGGTCTCGCACGCAGACTTGACGACGTCCAGCCTCCCGAACAAGCCGGTTTTTGAAAAGGCTTTGACCACATATATAGCCTTCGGAAAATTGTACAAAATTCAGAGGAGTACAAATTGCCACTATGTCTGGCGTATGAGAAAACCTTTGATTCCGTCGAAATTTGGGCGGTGCTGCAGTCCCTTCAGCGGTGCCAAGTTAACTGTCGGTATATCGAAGTGTTAAAGTGCTTGTACAGTAGGGCTACGATGGCTATCCGAGTACAGAACCAGAGTACGAAACCTATCCAATTGCAGAGAGGTGTAAGACAGGGTGATGTTATATCCCCGAAACTCTTCACCGCTGCATTGGAAGACGTTTTCAAGCTTCTGGACTGGAAAGGATACGGTATTAACATCAATGGCGAGTACATCACTCACCTTCGATTTGCCGACGATATAGTCCTTACGGCAGAATCGCTGAAGAATCTTTATATGAAAATAAGAGCTGTGTTAGTTTAAACTTGCAACGATTTTTTCACATGCTTACGGACTTGATTTTTAAAAACAAACTTGTTGCGAGCTTTTTTAATGTCAAGAAGAATGTCTTTCCAGAGTCTAATGGCCGTCAGGGCGAAAGAGTGAGATAAGTAGCCAGTACGGTGTAAAGGAGTCAGTAACTTAAGATTAGCCGAAGAACGGAGAGAACAATTATGCCAATTTTCCAGGTATTGAAATTTGAATTTCAGATACTCGGGAGCACATGGATCGTTCAGAATTGTGAAAAGGGTACAGAGTATTCTAACACATCTGCGCTGACGGATAGGCAGCCAATTTAGCTGAGCACTAAAAGAAGATACATGGTCGTATTTACGAAGGCCATAAATATATCTGATGCAGTTGTTATTTTTTTTTTATAGGATCGGGTGACAAACAAGCACACAGTCCACCTGATGGTAAGTGGTTACTGTGACCCATAGACATCTACATCTATCCTCAATAAAGACTCAAGATGCAGATGCGTTGTCACCCGTGAGGACTAAGATGGAATGCCTCTTTGCCAGTAAAATGGGTCTCCGGTTCTCTACACTCACCATACGAAACACAGCAGCGTTAAGCTGCTATTTTACGCTGGTTTTCTGTGAGAGCGTGGTCCTTCCCCGGTCGAGCCGACCCATTCGTGCTACAACCATAATATAGCTGCAGCATGGCTCTACCACGTTAAAAATCTACACATCACAATAAAAAATGTTATGGAGACGATCCAATGTATTAAGATGATGTTGAAAAAGGACTGAGCAACACTCATCGACATAATAAATAATCGGTAGAAGAAGTGATTGGACAAGTAAAATCTTAGTATTCGTGGGTAGAATTTTTTAAATCTTTTTTAAATTCTTTTCTCCAACAAGTTCACCGTATTGTGGAATATATCCTCAGCGGTTTCTATCCTCGTCGTCATAAGACCATCGCGGTCTTTTTCGCCGTAGCAAAAGCGTTTAATAGAGTGTGGTGAAGGCTTTATCTAGAAACTCTACAAAATAGGCCTCCCTGATCGTCTTGCCTCACTACCATTCCGCCAATCCGTATGCTAGGGACCCCTGTCTCCTGGCATACGACCGTCAAATATTTAGGTGTCACCCTTGACACGAGTCTCACCTTCGGGCCCCGTGTTAAGAGAGTAACTTGCAACGCTGGCTTCTATCTGAGTAGGCTCAACAGTATGCTGGGCCGATACAGTAAAATGTCCCTCCGTAACAAGCGAACCCTTTATAAGGTTACGACCAATTATGACTTACGTGGGCCCCATATTTGCTCACGCTAACCCCAAAACCCTTAACGAACTTCATATAGTTCAAAACAATTTTTTTCGTCGGGCTACGAACGCATCCTGTTAGGTCCGTAACGCCAACCTCCATCAAGACTTAGAGCTCCCCACAGTCCAGCAATTTCTAAAAACACTCTCTGAGAACTTCTTCAAAGCCTCAGAGTCTCACTCTAATCATTTCATTCGTGAGGCAGCTTCCTAGGCAGCCCCACTCCCCTCTCGCTATCGAGTCCGAAGACCGAGAAACTCTATCACGCACCCCCCAAACAAGCTTTCGGCCGACCTAAACCGCGTCCTGGTGTCTCAGGCCGAATCTTCTCCCCGCCCTTAATTTGCCTTAATTAGGATCCCCTCTCAGCGGCTCCTCGCCGCCTGTGCCCCCTTTTCCCTAAAGAGGTTCGCTTCCGATTCGGCAGAAAGGCCACACAAGTCTCACAAGTGGTGTTTAGTGGGTAGGCACTTAGGTTTGGCAGTGAGTCCCATATAACCACGGCAGCCGGCTGTCGTGGTATGCTTAGAGCATTCACCACCTCCCTTCCTCGCTTCCTGGAGGGTAGCCCTTTCCATTGCATCTGGTCGCAAAAAAGGAGGTGAATAAAACACCAACATTCATTGATGAGATCAGAACATTTATTTCTATAACATAATATTTAACTTGTGATTCCGAAGAGAATCAATTGGTTGCGCGATTTACAAAGGGATAGCGCCATCTATGGAGAGTTTTTATAACTAAAATAATCGTACTGTATACCGTGTTAAATGTTGTTGGAAACTATGAAGCTATCTGTTTACAATGAATTGATATTAGTTTAATCTACAATAATGTGTATATTTATTTAACAACTAGACATTCCGCCCACCATGGCCAGAATGGTCATTATTCCCGCCCACCATGAATCAACAATCAACGAAAGTGGACTGTAAATAGATAAGGTAAAATATGAAAGTGGGTAGATCCAAATGGTTGAATCATGGTGCATAGGTAACAAAAAACAAATAGGTAAATAGGATCTTTAAAATCCTAGAAATCTTATCAAATAAAGAATCCAAAGATATTTAATTTAAACATTTACATTTACAACATGCTCATTTCACCAAACAAAAAACAACTTAAGCTTGAAAATAACAATAAACGTGTCAAGCATTGACTGACACGAAAGAGAATAAAAAAGTAGACCTTATTCTGCCACTGGCAAGACACACAATTTTACAATAGGCCTTTTAATTATGGCATCTTTGCATTTGAGACTCACAACCCGCGTAATATTGTCCACACCCTTATGTTTTCTATAATAATACCCATAAGCCATTTCGCTGGAGGAAGATCATCCTCCTTAACTAAAACTAAGTCCCCAATTTTAGGCTCTGGTGTTTGGTTTGCCCACCGGTGACGTTGCAGAAACTGAGTCAAATATTCGCTAGACCACCTTCGCCAGAAGTTCTGTAACATTTTCTGGGTTAGTTGCCAGCGTTTCAGAGAAGATATTGACGAAGTTTCATAATTGGCATCTGAGACAAGCACCAAGGGTTCACCGATGATAAAATGTCCCGGTGTGAGCGGTGTTGGATCTTGTGCATTGGTGCTAATCTGTGACAACGGTCTAGAGTTAAGACATGCCTCAATTTGATACAGCAGAGTAGATATCTCCTCGTAAGTTAGGGTCTCTGTGCCGATCACACGCTTCAGGTGATGTTTTGTGGACTTTATCCCACTCTCCCAAAGTCCACCGAAGTGAGGAGCTCTCGGTGGGATAAAATGCCAGTTGGTCCCAGCAGTAGCTAAACTCTCTGCGATTTCTCTCGTCATGGTTGAATTTTCCTGAGCTACTAGGGTTCTTAGCTCGCGCGCAGCACCCACAAAATTTGTCCCATTATCGCTGTAGAGATCAGCGCAATGGCCACGTCTAGAAACAAACCTTTTGAAGGCTGCAAGGAATCCCTGTGACGTAAGATCGGTTACGGCTTCCAAATGTACGGCTCTTGTAGCCATACATACGAATAGGCATATATATCCCTTGTACGCTCGATGACCTCTTCCTTTAGAAGTCCTTATCTGGATGGGTCCAGCATAATCCACGCCGCTTTGATAGAATGAGCGGATTGGAGTGACCCGAGCTACAGGTAGTTGTCCCATGAGTTGGTGTCTACATTGTGCTGCATATCGTATACATGTGACACATTTGCGTACAAATAATTTGGTACGATTTTTTACATCGAGGATCCAATATTTGGATCGTAGGTAATTGATCATCAATTGAGGACCTCCGTGTAGGGTTCTTTGATGGGCATCTGCAATGATAAGATTTGTGAAATGCGATTTCGATGGCAGGATAATCGGGTGTTTTTTATCATCACTTACATCAGCTCTCTCAAGACGACCACCAACTCTCAAAATTCCTTCACCGTCCAGGAAAGGGGTCAAAGTGGTAAGTTTGCTTTTCTTATTAACTGCACCTCTAAACTTAATATCTTTGATTTCCTGTGCAAAGTACGTAGCTTGACACGCCTTTATGCTGATTTGAATTGCTCTTGATAGTTCTCTGTAAGTTAACCAACTCGGAAATGTTGTTGCTTCAGTAGATTTTTTCGTCTTTGATATAAATCTCAAACAATAAGCTATAACTCTGGTCAATTTTTGTAAAGACGAAAACTTAATCCATAATTCAAATTCATCTTCCCTGGTCACATGACAAACTTTCTTTCCTTTCTCTTCCAAATCCGTGTCGCTTAACTCCTTCCTGTCATATTCCATATTCGTGTCCTTTAACCATGCAGGTCCAGCTTTCCAGAGGGGAATTGCTTCACATTCCGACGGGTTGACTCCACGGGAAGCGCAATCTGCCGGGTTGTCAGTAGATGACACATGTGACCACTGATCTCTGTTCAAAATGTTCAAAATTTCTGAAACTCGATTTGCAATGAACGTCTTCCAGCGGCTTGGATGACTGCTCAACCAAGCCAGAACGATTGTGGAGTCCGTCCATGCATGTAGATTTGTCTTCGGTACTTTCAAAACTTCAGAGACTTCCCTTAATAATCTCGCCAAAAGAACGGCGCCGCACAACTCTAGCCTCGGGATAGACACTTGCTTTATTGGGGCTACCTTGGTTTTACACGTAATGAGAGTAACCCTGACAGTTCCAGATTCATCTGCCACGCGAGCGTAAACTATAGCAGCATACGCATCCGCAGAGGCGTCACTGAATCCGTGTAACTCCAGTTTCATACATGTCTTGTTCATACCAATCCAGCGCGGCAGACGAAATTGTGTAAGTGCCGTAAGTTCACCTCGGTAAGAAATCCAATCATTGAGTAGTTTCGGTGGGAGCTCTTCATCCCAACCGATTCCCGCTAGCCACAGCTGTTGAATGAAGATTTTTGCTTTTATAATGGCTGGAGCAATCCATCCCATAGGATCAAACAGTCTTGCAATATCTGATATAACCTTTCTTTTTGTTATAGGTTCTACGAGTGGCGGTAGCTGCACGGAGTATTCGAAGTTGTCGGTACGTCGATTCCAGGTAAGTCCGAGTATTTTAATGATTTCATCTATTTTGAGTTCCAAATTGCTTTCTGTTGTTTCTATTTCTTTGCTTATTTCCTTTAACAGAGTTTCATTGTTGCTTGACCATTTCTGAAGTTCAAACCCCCCTTTGCTCAGTAATTCGTTGATCTCTTTATAGATTTGTTTTCCTTCCAGGACTGTTTCGCAGCCAGTAAGTAAGTCATCCATATAAAAATCATTTAAGATTCTTTCAGATGCTAATGGAAACGGTTTTCCGTCATCATACACGAGCTGGTGCAGTGTTCTAACTGCGAGATATGGGGCTGCAGCAGTGCCAAATGTGACTCGCAACAATCGAAAATGTTCAATAAGTTGTTCCGTCGTGGCTCGCCAAACCAATCGCTGGTAATCTATATCTTCACTAGAAATCAATATTTGGCGGTACATTTTAACTATGTCGGCGACCAAACATACAGGGTGAAGTCTCCATCTCATCACCAAGTGACGCAGATCCGATTGAAGAGTTGGACCTATCATCAATTCACTGTTGAGAGATACACCGTTGTTATCGCGACACGAAGCATCGAAGACAACTCTCAGTTTGGATGTTGTCTTGTTAAGCTTCACTACGGCGTGATGAGGTAAGTACACACTATCTGATTTGTTGATCTCATCTTTTGGTACCTTTTCCATGTGGCCATGTTCCAGGTACTCATCAATAACGTCGGAATAGAGATCTTTAAGCTGTGGTGACCGTACTAAACGCTTTTCTTGCATAAGGAATCTGCTCACTGCAATTTCCCGCGAATTCCCTGATTTGCAGCTCGGGTTTTCCATCTTGAATGGTAGTTTGACGATATATCGTCCTGAATCGTCTCTTTTGGTGGTTTTCTTATAGAATTCCTCACATCTTTGTTCCTCAGGTGTGTGGTGAGTTTTGTTGAGAAGACATTGATCAGATTCGATTTCCCAAAATTGTTTAAGATCAAATTCTTCTTCGATAACTTGAGTGTGTAAAGTGGTTACGGAGTTACTACAGCTTGATTCCGTTTTACGACCTTTAGATACTTGGCCCGACAAAATCCAGCCGAATCTAGTGTTTTGCGCTATAGGGGTTCCTATTGGACCTTTAAATAACCCTTCTAATAATATTTGACAATAGACCTCTGCACCCAACAGCAAGTCTATTTTGTTTGGAACGTTGAAATTTGGATCTGCCAATCTCATTTTTGGCATATAATATAGCTGTATGTCAACCTGTCGTTCAGGAAGAAATGTGGTAAGTTTGGTGAGCACGTGTGCACTCACTTTAATGTTGAAGGTTGGATCATGGATCGATTGTAGTTTGATGTGTACTACATGTTTAGAGTTGCACTCACTCCCTACTCCAAATATGACACTTTTGCTTGTTTCCTTCTTCAGCCCAAGTAATTGGACTGCAGACTCCGTTATAAACGAAGCCTGTGATCCTTGGTCCAGTAAAGACCTAAGTGTCATAAAAGATCCGTTGTTTGTTTCAGCTTTTACTAAATCGGTTGCTAAAAGCACTTGACTCTTGTTGTTAGAGAAACAAGTGGTAATGTTGGTCTGATCATTTTCGTCTGATGCTGTCGCTGTTGCCGCGACAACATTGTTACTATTCGATTGAGTGGTTACCTTTACATTATTTGATTGAACGTTGGTGGTGGTTGAATGCAATAGCGAGTGGTGTTTCTTTTTGCAAATTCTACATCTGGTGGGCAAACGACACATTATGACCGAATGATTTGCGCCTAAGCAGTTAAAACACAAGTTGGAGGTTTGGACAAAGTTACGGCGTGCTAATAGAGTTTCATTTGCGAACTTCTTACAATTTTCGAGCTTATGATCATTAGCAGAACAGTAGGAACATGAAACAGATATCTTGTCATTATTTTTTGTGGCTACATGATGGGATTGAGTACATTTTGTGATTTTAGGATTCAAAAATTCGAGTGATCTGTACCTGTGTTCTAAAAACTCTAAAAATTGCTTTAATGTGGGCAAGTCGTTTGTACAGTCACAAATTTTTGCTTCCCACTGCTTGCGAGATTCACTATCTAATTTTGAGGACAAAAGATAAATCACAATAATATCCCAATTTTCAGTGTTCACACCAGTATTTTTCAACGCATTTAAACACTCGTTAGTAGTATCAAACATTTCTTTAAGAGCACTTGAATTTTCATGAATAATATTTTTTTGGCTAAAAAACCTTTTTAAAATACAGTTAGTTACATATTTCTTATTGTTAAATCTTTTCTCCAAAAGATCCCAACACACTGAATAATTGTCACTTGTTATTGGTAGATTTCGCAATAGTTGTTCCGCTTCACCGGTTAAATAGCTTTTTAGGTAGTGAAGTTTTTGCACTTTTTGTAACGAATTATTATTGTGAATGAGTGATAAGAAGAGGTCACGAAACGTGGTCCACTCTGAGTACCTTCCGGAGAAACTAGGAATAGAAATCTTTGGAAGCTGCACACTAATTTGTTCTTCATTGCTACGCAACGTGTCCTGCGTTTTGGTCGGTACGCGAGTACATTTTTCCAAGCTTGCCTTTAATTCTGTTTTATAATCTGCGTATAAGTCTTCTGTTTTGGTGTAAAAATCCTCGTTAAAGTAATCTAACTCTGCATAATCAGCATCACTAACTTCACTAATAAGTTGTTCATGTACTTTGTTAAATGTTTCCCACTGTCCATTCAAAATATCAATTCTAGTTTCTATGTAGTTTGAAGTTAGCCTATCTTTTGGAGATTTCTTAAAATTGACTCTGGCATTTTCCATTCGGTGGTACATATCTGACTGAGCTCTTATTTTGCTTTCCATTATTACCTTTATTTATTTGAAATATGACAATTTTTTTTTACAAATCCCGTTGAGTGGATAGAGCAAGTTATTTTTTCTATGTCCAGTATGTGCGTGATTTTTCTAAGTGTTTGGGTTGTACACACTTAGGCAAAATCGGGCATTACCATTTTGATGGGGGGGGGGGGGGGGGGGGATTGGGCCTCGTTCGACATTATATTGAATCTATTTACTTTTAACATAGATTATTTCTTAATTCGAAGTGCCTTATACAATTTAATAGCAATATCTTAAAAACACGAAATTCGTGTTTTTAAGATATTGCTATTCTATAAACAATTTCGTGTTTTAGTTTAGTAAAGTGGGTCTCCGGTTCTCTACACTCACCATACGAAACACAGCATTGTCAAGCTGCCATTTTACGCTGGTATTGTGTGAGAGCGTGCTCATTCCCCGGTCGAGCCAACCCATTCGTGCTACAACTATACTACCTACTAATATAGCTGCAGCATCGCTCTACCACGTATAATGTGTGATTGTGACTGGTACATATTACGGTTGCTCAAACTGTATTGCATGTTTTAAGCGCAAAGCGCGTAGGTAAGCGGATTTCAAATAAAATGACGCGTTACGTAAGTGGAACCTAATATTTTTCATAAATCGAAATTGACTTCATCATTCATCATCATCATCATTAGAGCCTTTCATAAATCTACTGCTGAACAATGGGCCTCCCCCAAGGAATGCCACAAAGCACGGTCCTGAGCCACCTGCTCCATCGACTTCCTGCATGTCTTACCAGGTCGTCACTCCATCTCGTGGGGGGCGCCCTACACTTCGTCTACCGGTACGAGGCTGCCACTCAAAAACCTTTCTTCCCCATCGGTTGTCGGTTCTTCGAGCTATATGGCCGGCCCACTGCCACTTCAGCTTATTAATCCGTTGGACTGTGTCGGTCGAAATTGACTTAAATGTGGCTATTTCGGTGGTAAATTTAATAAATTGTCAAAAAAAATATTAAGAATGTTTTAATAATATTCATAAAAATCCATTTTAAGAGACCGCATACTGCAATATCTATTCAGTTTCGTAACTTTTTTAATTACCGTTTTAATAAAATAAAACTATTATTATTCATATAAATTTTATTGTTTGAATGAAATCAAAGAAAAATCTTTTTTAAAAACTAAGGTTATTACAAAATTCTTCGTAGAAATTTTGATAATTTACTGTGTAAAGCTCCATTACGTAACTTTTCAGATATTTCGGGGAAAAAAACATCATTTACCACAATATTTGAAACACGTTCAATATCAAACTCTATTAACGAAATAAAAAATAAACACTATTAAACTTTCAAAAGCACTCAAATCAACAATAATTGTAAGATAAACATAGAAATTTAAACTAATAACTGTGGGACAGTTACGTTAATGGAATAATTTGTTACGAAAAGGAACTGCTTACGGTGTATATACACCATTTTTCCATAAGTACTAAATAATACTTAATTACTATAATTTTAAAAGTTTTTGTCTAAGATTCAGTCTTCATTAAAATACTTATGATTATTTAAAAAATGTTCTTAAGATTAGTGACAAATAAAATTAAAAAAATATATATTGAAGAGTCAGTCTGTAAAAATAATTCACACGCTGAAATATTTTTAGCTATTTGAGTCAAGAATACTAAAAATATTTCAGCGTATGAAATATACATATATAAAAAACAAAATCATAAAGAAATAACTACCTAAAGTTCTTTTAATATTAATAATATTTTTAAGGGTTACGTTTTGGCATAAAATTAAATATTTAAAAGATCAATCTCTACTTAGTGTAATACTAAAGTGTAAGAAAATATAGGAACTTAAAAAATCGTCCTAAAAGTAAAGTTGCAGCTTATTTACGTCCCACTGCTGGGCACAGGCCTCCTCTCATTTCTGAGAGGGTTTTAGGGCAAGGAAATGTCCGCCGCGCTGCCTCGTCCTACTAGTAAGTAAAATGCCATCAAAAACATAACCAGTAAAAAAAACCAAGTTTACCAGTTCTTCTACCGTAAAAAGTTGTGAGATCCATGTAATACCAAGTTGGTTAATTTATTCAGCCCCTACTTAAGGGTCCTTCTGTCTTAAGTTATTACGTAATTAGCTAACCTAACAACATCTTATAATGACCATATCAATATTAAAAATCTTTTATGTTTTAAATAAATAGATTGACTTGGTCATCGCATGAAAACACAATGTATCTCGCAAGTAATACATATTATATTAAATTAGATTGTTTGGTGCGATTGCCAAGTCAATCTATGTATTATTATTATACTTTCTGTTTTTCTTCTTCGGGGGCTCATTTATTCTTTCTTGACATTTTTTTACCCGTTCTCATTCTTTTTTCTTGTAAACTTCATACTTTCCTTTATCTTTTTTTTATATTTTCTCGGAATCGTTTTGCCCGTTTGGCCCCTGTGAGAGGCATTCTGTTTGGTAGGTAGGTTTGAAAAAGTAACTTTTAAAAGTATCTGAAAGATGAAAAAAGAACATATTTTTCACAATTCTGTAAATTCACATTTTCACAGACAAACTACCTACTCTAACTCAAAGCTAATCACGTCCTTATAATTCTGTTACGTAACAAAATTAGTTCGGTTAATACATAACGTTACGTAATTGATGTTACGAAAAGTTGGCTTGAAATTGAAATCAATCATTTTTAAGTAAAAATTAATGAATAATGGCTTTCATGTTATAAATTATCAACATTATACTGTTTTGAGAGAAAATTAAGGAAAAAACAAAACATAGCAACCTTCTTACCTGAGAAAACATGAATTTGTAATGGAATAAAATTTTATCACACACAATCACCACCGCGTTTCGTAACGAACTACGTCAAATTGGCAGATAAAGCGTTCAAACTTTGTTTGACTTTTACTTTGAAATGTTACCAGAAGTGCGAAAAATCTACAAATTTAATATAAATTCACTTTGTAGTACCTGTTACATGCGTTACGTAAAAGAAATTTCCGCCAACCTTGTTTTTGAGCACAAAAATTAAAATGAATTATCTATTTTACAAAACTCTAAAACATGCATTAGTTTTGTGCTCCTGAATAAACTTTTCAATGTAACTGTCAAAATATATGAACTGTTTTAACAAAAATTTGTCTAAATCAGATCATTTTGTTGGTATAGGGTGGACATGTTAAAATTAATGGTTTCGTCCACATAAATGTTTACTTTATGGCAATATTTTGCAGATTTATTTAATTTTTCTAATTTAAATGTTTCTTATCTATATTGTGACCGACAAAAACATAAAACTTGATTCCCTTATGAATAAACTATTGAAAAAGTAAGTGGACAGCGCAGTTTTCCTATGGTCATTTTATTTGAAATTCGCTCAGGTATGTTCTTCTAGCGCCTAAAAATCTAGATTCCAACGTTTTGTCCTTCGATCAACAATTGTTGATCGAAGGTTTTGTCGCATGAAATCGTATCTAACAATCGTATTGAACATATAAATGATATAAAAAGCACATTGCCAGAAACATAAATGATTGTTAAAGAGCAACGGCAGACTTTCATACATAAAATTAGTACAACTCGACTATGTTATAGTTGCAGCTTGCAGCACAAGTAGGTCGGCTCGACCGGAGAAGGCCTACGCTCTCTAGAATATCAGCGTAAAATAGCACTTGATGCTGGTGTTTCCTATGGTGGGTGTAGATAACCGGAGATCCTTTTCACTGATAGTGGGTTATTCCATCTTAGTACCGAGCGGTGACAACGCATCTGCATTTTGATTACTAATCAAGGATAGACGTAGATGTCTGTGATCCATAGCATCCACTTACCATCAGGTGGACTGAGTACTCGTTTATCTTATTCTATAAAAAATACGGTACTAAATAGTCCACAACCTTGTGTTATTACAGTTAAGGCCTGGTGGTTAACTCCTTACGGCATTAATTATTAAAGAGATGGAATGAAAATTCTTTTATAATGAAATAGTGTTTAATTAGGCTTACATAATTAGATCAAATTAGAATAAGAAATAATAAAGTTATATGTTAGAAGTTATAAGTTATTACTCGAAGCCATATATGGCTTCGTATGCAGTCTAGTCATCTAATGTGAATCCAAATATGGCTTCGTATGTGCTTAAGAAAAATATGTATGCCATCAAAAACATAACTTGTAAAAAAAAACAAGTCTCGCAACTCAGTTCTTCTACCGTAAATAGTTGTGAGATACTACCTATTTAAGGGTCCTTCTGTCTTAAGTTATTACGTAATTAGCTCACTTAACAACGTCTTATAGTGACCATATCAATATTAAAAATCTTTTATGTTTTAAATAAATAAATTGACTTGGCCATCGCATGAAAACACAATGTATCTCCAAGTAATACATATTAGATTGTTTAGTGTGATTGCCAAGTCAATTTATTTATTTAAAACATAATTTTTTTTTAATATTGATATGGTCACTATAAGATGTTCTTAATTTAGCTAATTACGTAATAACTTAAGACAGAAGGACCCTTAAGTAGGGTCTGAATAAATTAACCGACTTGGTATTACATGGATCTCACAACTTCTTGGCATCTCATTTCTTTTCGTAGATAGTTATATCTACGTACCTATCTACACCTATTATTCCATTATATTATACATATATAGGTACACTGATTCGTTCCCTGCAAATGTAACTTTGTAATCCTATATATTTATATGGGATTACAAAGTTATTTATAAAGTTGATGTATCTCGAAAACTGTACCGAAATTGCAAAATATTTTAGTTTTTCCTTGATTTATATACCAAACAATGATTGTATTCCAAATTTGAAGTTTTTATGTACGCTAGAAGTGCCTTAGAGTTTTGATGATCGGTCTGTCAGTGAGTGACAAAATTAAGAAACTTTGACTAGTAATACTAATTCTTAAAGTACTGGTTCAAATTGAATGAAATTTGAAATATACCGAGTTTATACAATAACTACTTGGATACCGAAA